AGTACCAAAACCAGTACCCTTAAAATGATACCGGTATTTGAATGAGAGAGGAGTGAAATAGTCTAGTGACCAAATAAGTTGTGGGAAACGAATTTAAGGTATTTTTTGATATGTGTGTTGAGACTAAACAACAAATTCTTTTGTTAACTTTCGATCAATAAACTGAAGTGAAATATCTTCACGAGTGCTTTTTCCTTTATTGGTGAGTCGCTAACCTCCTCCAAAAACGACAGCCACAAGTATAAAACGAGAAAGGAGTCTGTTTAAACAAGTCACTTAACTAGACAAAAGACACAAACAGAGGAAACGAGAGACTACGCGTCCAGCCGATCAAACCAATTACACCTGAAGAAGCCGCAGCTGCAGCCGGAGGCTCCGTGGGTAAAATCAGCTGATAGCTGCTGCGCCACAAAAGCGTTTAATTGATGTGATGGAAGGCAGCAATCGATCAGTGACTGAGTGTGAATAGCAAATAAAAATGTACAGAGAAGTGTTAAATGATACCGGAAGATGAAACCAACGGAAAGCCATGCTTGTGGTGATAAACTTGCAACAGTCAGGAACATGTCTGAGCCGTAGGTGAAATCACGCATGGCTCACTTGGCGGCTGCAGGCCTTTTTTTAAATACAGTTTATGGTGCAATCACATAAGGAGAAAAAAAGGTGTGCTCTTCTTTTTCCAGAGAGAGGAAACTGCAGATCCATCTCCTCCCGGACACAACCTGTTCCAGCTTCTCCCCTCTGGTAGGTGCACTGTATGCCAAAACCAACAGACTCAGGAGCAAGCCATCACTCTGACTCACAGTGTCAGGAACAATTCCTGTGCAATAACCTATATACAGTCTGTTTTAGAGCTGTTCATACTGTCATATTGTATATACACCTCAAGTACATTATATTTTATCCAAAGCGACTTACAATTGCTATACATGTTAGAGGTATGTCTTGCTCAGGGACACAATGGGGGATTGAACCTGGGTCTCTCACACCAAAGGTAGGCATCTTATCCATTGCGCCATGCACATTATACTTATTTATTCCAGCATCCTTTGCACTATGCTCCTTCGTAATGTGTAGGCTACATGTATGTATGTGTATGTGCACCTGTATATCTCATCCACCTCCGACATGTACTATTATGATAATGGTAATAATAATTCACTCCTGCATCCTTTGCACTCTGCACATTGCACTAATGTCTCAATCTGTCTATATTGTTTTTGTTTATAGTGTATGTATGTATGTGTTCTCTATACTGTTGCCTGTGTTTGATTTTATTATTGTAATATTGTATAGGTAAGCACATCGTGAGCAATGTACAATCCAGAGTCAAATTCCTCATATGTGTACACATACCTGGCAAATAAAGCTGATTCTGATTTCTTTCGGTGTGTTGTTTGCGGGTCTGGCTGCAAGCAAAACCACACAAATCCAAATTTTTTGCTACGATCTGGTTACAAAAAGTAGGCCTAGGTATGGTTTGAAGTAGGACTACTGGTTTGACTGGAGACGTTTCGATTCTACTCAATAGTGGGCTGTTTCGGTCGATACCATAAAGGTATTGAGTAGCGATACCAATCCCTGTGTGGACAGTGCTTATTTAGCACTAGAACAAGCATGAATTTATTTAGCTAAAGCTTTTACCATACATGATTTAGAAGCCTTTTTTGATGGGGGTGCCTGCATGGAATTTCTTGCCTGAAACTGCTGGAGAAAAAACAACTGTATGTGAGGTGTGACCACAGTGGCATCCCAGAGCACTATATCATAGGACTGCATGAAATCGAGCACACATGAAACTCACTTGCACAGCTGCAGACAGCCGGTGAACATATTCTAGGCCAGAGCTCAATGATTTCTACCTTTCACCTCCTTTCTCTCCCTCTCCCTCTCCCCCTTCTCTCCTTTTCCATGTGTCTCTCTCTCACACCTGTTAATGTCAAATGTCAGACTCATGCCCGCCAGAGATTCGTTCCATCACACACACATGTGCCAGTTTTGACACATTAATTGACAAGAGAGAAGGGAGGTAACTGCAGGACAGTGGCAGTGGAACAGGGTGTGTAACATCGTTACACAATTCCTGTTTTTGTGTGTGTGGTGAGAAAGGGGTGTTTTTAACGTGTGCTTGTCATTACACAACTTTAGATCATCAGACCATCTGCAGAGGAGGGGAGTTTCATTTGACATAGAGACAAACAGATAAGTGGACATTTGTGCTCGTGAATGAATGCCGCTGCTGTGTGTGTGTGTGTGTGTGTGTGTGTGTGTGTGGACGTGCTCTATAGTCCATCTATGGTTGTGAGGATGGCTTTGCATTTCAGGACATTTTTAAGGCCGTGTTGGCCAGTGCCCACATCTTCAAAGGGCTCTTTGAGGGGGACTTGGCCTTGAGGTGACATTTTGGGAAATACACTTTTTCTTGAGGAGAGATGAGAAAATCAGAATGGTCACATCTGTATGCTAAATATGAAGCAGCTGGTTATTTTTTCTTAATACAAAGACCGGTCCAACACATAATGCTCCATAAAACCACAACTTTTTTACACTTGAGATTTTGTACAAATTAAACATGAGAAAAAAATTAGATACAACATGTTAATTAGTGAGCTTTAGAGGTGCTGGTTAGTGGATTTTGTCACATCTGGGCTGATCCAGACTAGCTGTTTCCCCCTGTCTCCAGTCTTTATGCTAAGCTAAGCTAACTGGCCGCAAGACCAGCAGTTAAAAACTCAGCAAATCTGCTTCATCAGGACTGTGTGGGTGTGGTTTGATCACATATGATTCACATTGGCCTGGAAATATAAGAAAACAACCTCACACATCTCATCCCATTTTGATTCAAATGTTGCTATAAAGTCTGATTGCTAATATAGATTATGCCTTTCATGAGCATGGTTAGTGTTATTATTTCCAACAAATCCCATGAAAAAACAGCCAAAAGAAATAATGCATTAGTCCTTCTTTCATTACTTTTCGACTTCCAAACCCTGTCTGGTGTTTAGTGGTTAGCCCATTGGTTCCTGTGAAGACGCAGAAAACAGGTCACAAATATATACTTTAATTTTCAAGCACAGCTAAATAATCTTCTAAAACAGCTGGGCACTGTAGTTTTTAGCAAATGTTACTTAAACAGGAGTAAATAGGCCAACCGCATTTGTTGGGAGCTATTTCCCCCCACGGATGAAGAGACATTTGGTGCTCTAGTGAGTATTCACTGCATCAGGATGGGGTTTGACTCCAAATACAGTGCAAATTTCACCCAGTGCAACAGTGTGACCAAGTCGTCACATATAGACTGTGACGACTTCCCCTAGTCTGCCTGCCTGTGTGTCTTCTATGTTTTGCAGAGTCTGGGTGTGGCTTATAGGTGGAGCTGGGAGGGTCCAATGCATGTACCTGCCCATCTGGGTTGGGCTTTCTAGAGGGTATAAAAGGGCTGCCTTTCTGGGAGTCAGTCTCTCTCTCTGCTTTGTTCCTTTGTTTAATTTGCTGCACCTACCAACATGCAATACACTTCATTTTCACTCATCCACACACTTCAGACATGACTGATGTTCCTCATATCTACCAACGCCATCAACTTAGTTATGTTGTTTGTTAGTTTGAGTTAAATAAACCATTTTTGTTTCTATTATCTGTGTGAGTCCTCCCTTTTTGTTGCCAGGCGGTAACAGGATGCAGGATCAGGATCAAGACCCGTTGCTGTCAGTTTGCAACGCACTAGGGAACCCCTTAGCGTCATAGTTCAACGCACTGAGGGAAGCCCTGTCGCGACCCACTCTTGAAGGAAGATATAGGATATTTACCTATGAAGTCTGCGTAAGGAGGCGGTTGGGGTGGAGTGGGCCTGAAACCAAACTTTGACCCAGGAGCCTGGTGTTGGTTTCTCGTGTGAAACAAAGACTCAACATTGACTGTTTTTATTTAAGTTGTGTTGGTTATGTAAGTTGTGTAGGTTACCCAAGTAACGTTACTTAACTTACGTACGTGAAGACACGTAAGTAACGTTGTTATTTTAAGCCAAACCATGATGACCAAGCGTCCATATGTGAGTGAGAATGTGTTGTAGTGACACATCTGTGTGTTTTTAATCACTTGTGGTTTATGGCACAGAGGATTAATGTAATGTCCTTCTAAAGTATTTTCTCTGAGTGTGCAAAATAAGCACTAGTATAAACTTCCAACATCCTTATCTTGACACTCATGACTACAGCTCAATCTGCCATCACGTGTGAGCGTGCATGTGCGAGCACAACACACAGACACGCACACGGTATGTGTCACCCTCTGTGCTCTTGCAAGCCAGACTGAGGTCAGTTGAAGTCAAACAAGCACAAAAGCATGTGGAAAAACACGAGGACAAGGGATCACCATATGGAAAAGTAGTGAGGCAAAAAGAGGGGCAGAGGACCATCATGAAATTCTTTTCAAACTTCAACCTGCCCCCTGCAAAAAAGTTTGTCGTTGTGCTGTCACAGGTGCACTCCCTCCACTTTTTTTACTCTGCCTTTTATTGTCTTCGGCTTGGGCTTCTTTACAGTGGCCCCGTTGCTTTTTCTGATCCTCCCTCTCTTACTCTTTCTCAAATGTTCAAATTCAAATTTTCTTTGCTGCCATGTAGATAAATAAGTACAAATACAGTATTGCCACAGTCATGTTGTACAAGGCTTGCAATGTGGGTAAGAAACAACATACCTGTCCACTGTACTATGCTATACAACCAAATTACACTACTACATAAAATACTTTAGAGACAAAACAAACTGATGCAAACAAATCATTTAGAAAAAAATTCACATTCAAATACTTAATTTGCATGGTAGCCATTCTTGCAAAAACACGTTTATCTCACACACTGACTCTGCCTCTCTTTCTCTACACGACTCCATCCCTCCCCTCCCCTCCCCTCCTCCCCTGCTGAGCGCGCACAGCCTGATGACATCATGAACAGCCGGCATGAATCCAGCCAGTAGGCTTGCAGCTCAGTCTGTGGTGCTGACTACAGTCTCTCGGTCTCTCTCCCTGTGCGCTCATTCTGACGCTTCCTAGCTTCGCTGCTGTACACACCCTCACACAGTCTTTCACACCCTCATTCCTCCACACTGCTGCAAACATGGTCGAGGCTTTCGTTGGCACATGGAACCTCAAGGAGAGCCAGAAATTTGATGAATACATGAAGGAGCTGGGTAAGTGTGTGTTATGCGTGTGCAGCATATGCATATGAGCGTGTGTGCGCATGCGTGTGTAACAGGAGAAGATGCAGCGAGGCCAGTGCTGCATGTGAGCACATGTGAAAATGGGGCTGAGGAAAGATAGACGCTTTAAGGTGTGTTTGTGTTTAAACAGTTTAAGCAGCAGGAAAAGGAACAAAAGATGAGGGGAGACAATGACTAGGTAAATGAAGGAGCGACCAAGATGGAGAATGAAAAAATAGAAGTGGTGGAAGAATTAAGGTTGGAAAGTGAAAGAGAATATTGAAAGAGGGAAATCAGGAGAACCAGAGGGGGGAGAAAATGAGGAAGAGTGGTTGACCGCATGGCCTAAGTGCTAGAAACGAGGGAGGGGCTCTCTTTTAGTGGGGACAAAAAAAAATCAACCCCACTGTGAGAACCTCTGAATGGCAAGCTGGGATACACACACACACACACACACACACACTTGGGAATAATGTGGGTGACCTTCGCTGAAAGCTCTTCATTGTCTGAGGCTATGGGAGGAGTTGAATTATAAGACGGTCCCAGTGCCTAATGGGACTGGGAGAATGTGCAGATGAAGTGAGCCTCAAAATATCTCACACATAGCTGAGTGTGTGTGTGTGTGTGTGATGGGGGCAGGTGGTTGGAGTTTTACAGCCATAAAGAATGACACTAAACTATTTGCCTTTGTGAGGTGTAGGGTGAGTGAGGGAGTGTGAGAGAGATTCATCCCCAGCGACCTTGGAGCCTTATTAATCTATCTGTCTGCTCTGGTCACAACAGAGACAAGAGACCCTTCAATCTCTAACCTCAATATTCTCTTGAACAATCGGGAGTCTGCGCACACACAGAAACACACACGTAAAGAGTAACTTTTTGATTGTGGCTGATTGGAGTAGCAGTTATTGCTTTTGATGAACCGGATTGTCAGCCTAACTTTTTGATGTCTGTCAAAGGGTATGAGTTACTTTCACCCAATTAATAAACTCTCTTTATCACTTACTCACACACACACACACACGCACACACACACACACACACACATACACATACAAGCCCAGACAGGCAGCAGGTCAATAGGACTCTGTCGTGTTTGAAGATAATGCTGCAGGTTTGGACAGTAGACAAATAGAGATTAGAGAGTGTGTCAGTTGAAGGAGACCTAAAGGGCAAATACATTGCTACTGCTTTAATCTTTGCTCAAAATATCCTCACTCTGGTAATACGGAGATATTTACTGGATAAATGAATCAGACTATTCAGCGTTGGGGTGGGATGGTTGGTTGGTCCTTAGTTTGAGGAGAAATCCCTTGACTTTTCCTCTAGTGCCACCATGAGGCTGACAATTTTGGTTCAGAGCAAAATGTCTCGACTTGCTTGCCATGAAATTTGATGCAGATCTTAACGTCTCTCTTGGGATGAATTGTAGTAAATCTACTGTCATGTGGGCCCTTAGTCTTATTTAGTTTTTTGCACGTATCAAGGCAACACTATCCAACAGATTACATTAACCCATGTGTCTTTGTTTTCCGCAGGTGTGGGCTTTGCCACGCGTAAGGTGGGCAACATGACCAAGCCCACAACTATTATCTCGGTGGACGGTGACACAGTGACAGTGAAGACCCAGAGCACCCTTAAGAACACAGAGTTGTCCTTCAAACTGGGAGAGGAGTTCGATGAGACCACTGCCGATGATAGGAAGGTTAAGGTGAGAGGTCAAAGGCCAGGTTGATTAGACGGGAAATCAGTGAGGAAGACCAACACTTAATCAAGGTTTAATCTTTGATTAAGTGTAAGTGAGCGTCAGAGAAAGATAAACAGTTATTACAGATCATATTATTAAATCATTATTACAGATGCTTTAAAGTGATACTGTGCATTTTAAAAGACATTAACACAATCTTCTTCTTGCACATAAAAAGCTAAATTTACAAGCAATAAAGCACACTCTTAATCAATTTAACATAATCAGAGGTGTAGTTACCTAAGCCTGGCTTGGTCTGGTATGACCAGGAGCTTATGGTTTGCTAATGTTAGCAAACTGTAGTTGCTTTGGGCTACAACTGACTTCACTGAATCAGTTTATTGACTTTACAACTACTACTACTACTATTGTTACACGTTTTATCATTAATTATTTGTTACTTTACTTACAACAACAGATGTCTGCTGTGCAGCTAAAGTTACATAGGTTAGCTTTATAAGTATTATTTTTCTGCTCTAGCTTGTTTGAGCTGGTTTTATCTACTTTATATAGTGTTTGGTAGTTTTATTTTTCAAAATGCATCATATTTAATAGGTTTCAAGCATCATATGGTTTACATGTGAAACTTAACCTGCAAGGTATGCTAACTATAGCTGTCAAATAAATGCCGTGGAGTTAATAAAGTTCAGCTTTTGCCTCGGAAAAGTAGTGAAGCATATAGAAGTAGCATAAAATATAAACACTCAAGCAAATCAAGTACATCATAATTGTATTTATTTGTGAGAACATTAATATGACCTTGTATGTTATGAACCCCCTGTTTGTCTCTCTGTTGGCTGTAGTCTATTGTAACAATAGAAGATGGGAAGATGGTGCACATACAGAGGTGGGATGGCAAAGAGACCAGTCTGGTCAGGGAAGTCAAAGACAAGGCTCTCACACTGGTCAGTGCTCACACAAAACATGTACATATACGTCGCATCTGTGTGTGTGTGTGCGCGCGTTGGTTGTATTTTCACCGTCTTTCTCTCTCCATCACAGACACTTACACTCGGAGAGGTCGTTTGCACGCGTTACTACGAGAAGGCAGAGTAAACCTCGTCACTAAGACCCCGCACCATCTACCTGCATCGTCTAAAGCCCTGCACCACAAACCTACTTAACAGCCCCTCCTATGGCTGCTGCAGATTCCATCCAATGTCCCATCATACTGTACGCTCAGTGTTAAAGTTTCTGCTAACTGACTTTCCCTTTCTCACTGTCCTTCTCTTTATACTGTTGTTCCTTACTGTAAGAAACACTGAATAAATTCCAATGATTTGTTGTCGTTTTCTTTCTCTAAAATTTCAAGGTCTGACATTTTTTTCTTTTACAAAATGTATTATGCATGGTTCATTTGATAAACCTGGAAAAGTGTTTGAATTTGAAAGTTTGCCAACTGAGAACTTAAAAATAAAATGTCTACACTGTTGGGCAAACTGGCAAAACAATGAATTTCCTGTGTTTGCTTGTGTTTTTTTTGTTAACACTGTAAGGCCAACAGATGTTACATACATCACTTGTAGCTATCCTAAAAATATATATCTAATGTTCATAAGGTCCGGTCATCTGGCCATGAACTCACACAACCTGCAAACTTTCCTTCCAGCTCATCTCTTTGTTTTGCTGGACTGAATTTGTCAAGATTCAAGTTTTTTTGTGTCGTTAATACAATGACTAAAACCTTTTGATATTTAGTTATTAAGGAATACGTTCATTAAATTTGGGCTCGTTACGGGTCTGTTGCAATTCTACATATCTGCTGAGGGTGTTGGTCATTGCACTTCTCACATGGAAAAATATACTAACAGAAATATAATGTATTTGGTGATTCACTATAACTAAGTTCTGAATGTGTTGCAGCCGAAATAGCTGCTTTACATTGGGCAGAAACAGGTGACAATGCTCAGGAATGTGGGGGATGTAAGTGTCCTTGGGGCATGCATTCATTCCTTTTAGTATGATAAATAGAGAGCACAATGGGGTAGCCAGACAGCATTGTGTGGATTAAGTGGAATGTGTAGGATTAGGGTTCATTTGCATATAAAAGCTCTCCACTCTGAACACTTGGTCCACCACTCGATCTATGCATTCAGGTTATCCACTACAGTATAGGCTAATAGTCATATACATATTTGGCTACTTTTACATTTCAGTATGCAACCAGCAGAGAGGTCTTCTCTACAGTGTGCACGATGTGACTGTTGCCATCCAAAATGGAGAGAGTGATTTTGAGATGAAATCAGAGTCACAAAGCGGCAGATGAAGATGCAGGTGAAATCCAACAACCCGCTGTCCACGCAGCCGCTGATTACGTGCAGTGTTGGGCAGTAGCGTTGCGTTACTAGTTTAACATTTCTCAATAGCTTGGTGGCAGCGTCGCTATTTTCTGAATCCAATAGCTTTTCAGTAACTAAGTTCTTTTATTGGCCGGGTAGCGCGGTAGCTTCCACACAGGCTACATTTTCTCAAGCATTTCTGAAGGATCAGTAAGTGACGCCACCGCCACACGGACCTGTATGTGCAGCCGGTGTCCCACCGGCAGAAGCGCTTCCGTGTGACGGTGACATCACGTACTTATCCTTGGGCTGCTGTCTGCGACTTTGCTGCAGTGGAGTAAAGACACGCGATTGACTGCGACTTTCTATTGTGATAGTTATTGTAACACCTCTTGTGAGAAGTATCAGGGTCTAGCCTGGACACCTTTTCCTCTGGTGAGGAGCAAACTTTGATAGGTAGTGGCAGAAACTTCTTTCCATGAGATGAGATCTCTCTTTCTCTCTCTCTCTTTCTCGCCCATTGTCATGAATGTTTAAATTGCAGTGTTGCCAGAGCACAAATTCACATATATAAACAATAAAAAATATATAATTAATTAATAAAGTGATAATTAAGTTACTTTATACAAACAACAATGATTCTCCGTTTGTTGCATGAGAAAATACATTTAGCTGCAATGATATGGCATTAAGTAGGAGAGTTTCTGTGTGTCTGAATTAGCTCTCTCTCGCTCACACTGGAGCAGGTTTTTAGTCTTTACTCTATAGCTACTGTGGAAGGAAGTTAGTTCAATATAAACTTAGATGTAACTATGCTACTTTTGCCACGTTGCTGTAGCTTAGCTTTGCTACATTTCACTGGGGGGGGTAGCTTCTGTGTAATGAAGCTTCATTTAATGTAGAGTAACTAGTAGCTTAGCTCACTACATTTTCCAAGTAGCTTGCCCAACAATGATTACGTGTACGTCGAGCTCCAAACATACAAACAAACACACACACACACCCACACCATGCCCCGTGAGAGATATCGCTGGCGGAACGAGGATTTTATCAATGCCAGTACTTTTGGTCCGGAAGTCATCGATAATGCTGTTTTCCTCCAGAAAACACTGGAGTGCTTCCAGGAGTTTGATGATTCATGCACAGCACTGCTTTTTAAAGGAAACGGACACCTGTAGATGGGCCTAATGCAAATTACTGGAGTCAGTAGCCTACTCGGGGACAGACGAATCCAATCACTGTTAACATCATTACACTTTGCAAACAACTTGACAGTGTCGGGGAGACGGGACAGAAAGACACATTCTGGAAACTCAGACTGTGGCTTGATTCATTCAGAGAGAAATGCCTGCAGGTGGGAGGCTACTGGCCGATAGATTCATTTTGAGGGGGGATTCAGCGGCATTAAGCATGATATCACAGTCCAGAGGTCCTCGGTACACTCCACACTGGATGTATGCAAGGAACTAATCGCATATTTCCCAGTGAAGACGAAGAGATGACGCTGCAGACACTGCAAGAAAGGATACACTGCTTGCTTTTTAGAGGAAAACAGCTGTCTGTAGGAATATCATTGCAAACAAACGTGGGTGAACACTGGGGCTAAGACGAAATTCCGATTTGTAAATACAATCGTATCCTGTTTTTTTAATAAATAAATAAATATTCATAAAAAATATGACAGAATGAACATGTTATGGGGCTAAATAAACAATCACCCCTGAAATTTCTACTTCAGAGGCCTCCTACACAACATCTGGGCAACATTAGGCTTTACAGGGTTAAGATAGGGTTCACACAAAGTACAGAAAGATTCCTCACTTAACACAAAGTTTAGTCAACTGGAACCCTGAAGTTTAAAAACACTGCAATGAGCAAATATCTTTGAGGGTAATGCATGCAGAGCTGAACTTTCTGGGTGTGCCTGAAAGTGCCCCAGGGTGATCCAAGGTTAGTGTGTGTACAAGTGTGTATATTTGCCATGGCAAGGAATTTTGCTCAAGCTGGTAGGTGACTGTTTGTGCCATGTATTTGTACATAGGAGTGCCTGTGTGCTTTCTAAATTCGGATCACTCCCTCCTGCAGTAGATTGGTGTCATGTGGTAGCAACCGGCTGCCAACTAGAGACAGGGTGAAGGGGTGAAAGGGCGCAGGACGAAGCAGGCCACGTTCTTCCACCACCTCCTAAAGTTACCTTGAACTGAAATGGTTACATGAGGATGAACCATTCACAATGTAAAAATAGAGAGTATGAGTATAGCCTTCTTCTGTCATATATCCAGCTATTTCACATCCATATTTGTGAGAGCAAAGTTTTAGACTTTTTGATTAACATCTTACCTGTACTTTTACTTTCCTGTGTTATCTTTTTCTTTGCATTAATCTCTTTTTAAATTGTATTTAAATGTCTTTTTTTTATTGCCCTATGTTGCTTTTATGATTTATGTAAAGCCCTTTGCCTTGATGTTGAAATGTGCTATACAAATAAACTTGCCTCACCTTACTAGAAAAGAAACAAAACAACCAAGCCAGAAAACATACAATTCCAGGATTTATTATTTATAAATTTATTTATCTTTTCATACATGTCTGTGTATGGATTCACATGCGCTGCCACAGTAAAAATTCCATCTATAACACTTGCTAAGATAACCATCTGTATTAGATTGTACATGACTTTTGTTCGTTTTCATATCAGCATTATATATCTGCCATCAACTGCCCTGCTCTCTAAATATCAGCCACTGAAAAACGCAAATGTGTCCATTTTGCTTCTTCCAGCCTATGTAGTAGTTTTCATCAGTTGTGCACGGAAAAAAAAATAAAGCATTTCAGAGTTGAGCAAACTGTTTGTTAAACATTAAACTGTTAGTTACTTTAAAACTAACCTTCATCTGGGCGATCACAGGGATATGTGAATATTTGATCTGTTAACTGGTTGCATATGTCAGATTTATTGCATGACTCATTAGGCAGAGAAAAGCTGTTGCTCTCAAACACTGTCCACTTAATCTAATGAGTCAGTGTTTGGGTGAAGGGAGAGAACAAATAGGCTGATAGAAGGTTTGCAAAATGATTTCATGGTACCTTGGAAAAGTATTTTTAGTATTACAAAAATACAGTAGTTTATTTTTTATATGTGATGTGGCTGCTGTATTTTGTAGTTTATCGGGTATTTGGTATCTTTTTAAAAATACATTTTGATGTATTTTTGCCCATCCCTGGTAATAGTGGCCATCTGAAAGGTTGGTTCATTTAAAAGACCAAAAATCTAAACAGATACAAATATTAACAATCTGTTTTACAGGGAGGTGCAAAAACTATGACATTACATATACAAACATCCTATTCGTTCACAAGATACGAAAAAGTATTTGAATAAATTTAAAAAATGGGCAAATACATGTAGTCAAAGCAAACAGAGGCTTCCAGTATAAAGACACACATGCAACAAGCAACCTCTGTTAAATTGAGTCTGAAAGTTCATACTTGAACTTAGAAAGCAATGAAGATAAAAATAGTAATAATGAAATCTTAACTGAAAGTTTTTCCAGAGCTTTCAAACACATCTCACAGAGTTCATCAGCAGATAGAGTTTCCCAAACTGTGCAGTGGAAAGCTTTAGGAAAAAAACGTAGAAAGTGGGACTTTTACCTAGGATTTGTAGCAATGCTAGTGACAGGGCTTTGTGGATGGTGGTCTCAGTCATGTTGCTATATTAGCATTAGCATTTAGCACAGCCTCAAAGAGCTGCTAGCTTGGCTGTTTATACAGCATGGTTTCTTTGGTCTGTAGTTCTTTAAGGGGCTTTTTATCAGATCCTTCAACACAAAATACAAAAGATACATAATATTGGTTATGGAAGAAGAAAAGTTCCAAAGATATCCTCTATAGGGGGAAAACCCTCAAAATGAAATACTGTAATAAATACAAGTTGAAAAAGTATGCAGATTCTACTTTTGAACTATTTCTGTTGACTGACTGCTGCCGTTGTATTCAAATACCTTGCAATAATGCAGCACAAACTCAGTTTTGTTCATGCACACTCGGGATCACACTAAATGGCCATATTCTTGTACATCTGTCTGGTGCAAACAAGAGAGGGAGACTGAGCATTGAACTGGAGTATTTACCAAGGGAGTGCATTAGAGTCATGTCAAACCACTGCAGCTGGAAACGGTCTATTTCTTTGGGAACTTGGACACAAGGTCAAACAAGATGCTGACAAGGGGTTATCTTAAAAAAAACTAAAAGCGACTCTGTCCAGTTTGTGCAGCTTTTGACCTCATGGGACATGATGACCCAATGTAATAATTACATTGCGTAAATCCCTCAGTCATGGCCTTTAGACACTTTACCAAATTTGAAAATGTTAACTTAATATGACTACAGGGTCATATTAGACAGATGCAACCTGAGAATTTCAGTGGTCCCCTAATGCACACACATTTGAGTTCAAGGTCCAAGAACAAAGACACCAAGAGGCTTTTTTTTTTTTTTTTACACTTTTACAAATAAAAACATCTTTAATGGAGCTAACAGCTGGCATGCAGGAAGACGGTAGTGTCTAGAGTGAGCAGTCCCCTGGTGGCAAGACTTGTATGCATGTATAGTACACCCACAATAAGCGGAGGACAACCTCAGGATATCACGCTTGAGGTTCCTGTCACGCCCACGTATGCTGCATTACACGTCCTGTTTGCGTCTTTACTACTTCCTTTGTATCAAGGAAATTTATTATTAACACAAGGTTTTACTACAAAATGAAAGAGTGTGTGTGTGTGTGGTTTTCTCTGCATGATGAAAGGATTTTTATGTCAGCTCCCCCACCCTCCCAAGCTTTACTGTCTTCACATCTGCTTAATGGATTTCAAAGAGTATGTGTAACCGGATAGCTGTCCACTTTCTGCCATATTGCTTAAACAAATCGGGTTACATATGATGTGTAAACTCCTCCCAGTGTGGCTGAGCCAGAGGTTACTTCAGGACAAGGACAATTTTTTTAAATTTGCAGCACGTTCCTTCTAGGCCCATTTCCATCTTTTTAACTTTATCGGAGGTCTTAATGTGCTTCCAATCATAGAGACAGTAAGCAAAACTTTCCTTAAATTAAATGGATGAGGGTTTCTATAATAAGTGTTTTGTTGGAATTGATTATTAAAAGATACACTGCTGGAAGTCTGTCACTCTGCCTGTTGCTACTCACTTCCCCTTTTGCGTCTGTCTGATAGCTGTAATGTGTGTGAGTGTAGATGTGTGTTTCAGCCGTGTGGTGGTGTCAGCTGTGTTTGTGAGATCTATGTTTCTTGTGTTTCTTCTTCTTTTTGTCCCCACTGTCGGGAGTGTGGTCACGGCGCCTACTCTTGGACTTGCATTCGCCACTGCTGCTGCTGCTGTCGCTCTCAGACTCCTTCCTCTCCCTCTTCCTCTTCTTCTTCATTTTCTTCTCCTAGAGGATAAACATAAAAGAAGAGAAACCGTTCTGTGTGGCAATAAAAAGGAAACTGAACTATGACAATGCAGAAATACAGATAAAGCAGCTACACCCTAAACAATTCTTTTTCATTATATCTGCACAAAACTATACTGTATTCTTTCAAACAACACTTTTGGACAGTTCTCATAAAGCTGCATTGTATCTCTCAGTGAAAGCAGCCACAGACATGCATTGTCATACTGAGAGGAGTGGGTCGTTGCATCGGATGAATCACAACCCAGAGACACAAAGCGAGAGCCATGTGGGACATTAACAGTCCCACATTCACCTTCTTTTTCTTCTTCTTTTTGTCTGAGTCCTGCTGTGGTGCAACTGTAGAGGTTTGCTGCTTTGGCTCTTCATCGTCGTCTTCAGGCAAAAGGGCGTACTGCAAGCCCGGTGCAGAGAAACAGTCCTTTGTAAAGTGTCCTGAAAAGAATAAAGATTTTTTAAAATGCCTGCACAAATTTCCCAGTATAGAAGTTGCAGGAAACAAATGCAGACTCTATGTTTTGTTATTTTAGGATATGATATGTGGTTACGGTCGCATTGTTGTCGTACCCTTACAGCCGCACTTTGAGCATGTTGTGTTGAGAACGGCCTCCAGTGTGATCCTGTTGCCTGTATGATCTCTAAACTGCTTACGTCGCCGGGCATCCTGCCTACAATCACACACATAGACGATAATAACACACACCTGTCCATGCACACACACCCATTTGACAAGATAAAAGTAAGCTCTTACTCTGCCATAACGTTGTTTGGGTCCAAGTCCCGCCCTGTTCCCTGATTGACAGCTTTCATTGAGAAGGACAACTTGACCTTGTCATCCCGAATCTGAGAGACAGGAGACAGAACTGCAGTCATCCTGCTCACCTCACTGACACGGCACGGTATGTTGTGTGTGTGTGTGTGTGTGTGTGTGTGTGTGTGTGTGTGTGTGTGTGTGTGTTACCTCTCTCCCAATGACTTTAATCCACACCTGTTCCCCCACATCGACAATCTCTGAGGCATTCTCAACCCGTGTGGCTGACATCTCGCTCACATGCACCAGGCCTGTATGTGTCAGGGAAAAATGTAGAGACATTGATTGAACAAATAGCAGCTGAGTAGAAGTTACCTTCAAAGGATTGAGACACACAAATATGTCTTGGTTTTGCTGACGATGAAATATATGCCTTCATTTCATCAAGACTTAGAGATTTTTCTGACCATTAGAAATCTTTAAGAGACACAAAATGCTGTTGCCAGAATATTAACTAGGATTAGTTACATTAACTAAATGCACATTTTCACATTACATCCTTCACTGACTCACAATTTAAACATGGTCTGACTTAATTAAAATCAATGTTTTTTTTGTGAAAAATATAAATATAAAATTATTTTCTCAGGATTTGAAAACCATGGTCTGGGTGCTGAATTTATTGCAGTAAACTTTGCTCAGCTCGCCCTCCAGTGGTGAAAATGAGAAGCTGGCGTTCAGTTTGACAGCTCGAGCACAATTGTGCCACAACGAATCATCATCAAAAAATGAACCCATGTGTAAATATATCTCTCAGACATCATCAATCTGTTCCACTTCTTAACAACCCTGCCCTAACCCTCCTATGCGTCTCTGCATGCACATCATATCTTCTTTTTAGTCATAGTGACTAAAGTGGGTTGAAAATGAATCTTATCAGTGTGCAATCATATAAAAATATTTCAACATATAAAAACACAGCTTTGCACTGTTATATTTAATCCTCTACAACAGCACATAACACACCAACCTCTCATTGCAATCAGAGATGGAATTCTGAGGAATGTTGAAATCCTACTCTAGCTGCATCATGTGGTCTCTTTCCATCCTGGCTGAGACAGCACCGTCATAGGCCGACAGAGACACTGCAATTTGGATAAGAGGGCTGCCTCTTGGCTCCTGCATCCTCTGCACTCACTCTGCATTGCTTTTGGTTCTGGCCTAAGTCCCATCTCTGACACAGTGGTTTTACTTGGCAGTGGATGCAGGTGTTGACTTAGCATCTTTCTGCCACTGCATATTTGTCTGTTTTTGCTTTTTCTTATTGTCTTTGTTACTGTAGGTTTAACTGTTTTCACATATTGAGAGCTGTACAATATTTTCCTAATGAGGTTTTCTAACTATTATTATCTCTGCTACTTACTCTTCTGTATTTGCCTTCATTTACTGCACTATTTCGACATATTACTGTGATTAATTTATCTCAAATTGCATCTGTGACCGTATTCCTTCTGAATAATTAAAATTGAAATAAAAGTCTATACTGACAAATGAGCTTCATTTTTTTTTTAACCAACCTTCCTTCTTGTACCCTGGCAGTCTGACAAAGGCTCCGTATGTCTGCAGAGACACCACCTCTCCCTTGGCGATGCTGAACAATGGTGGCAAACCATCCAGTCCAGCTGGCTCCTGTGCTTGGCCATCGCTGTCAGACATTGTCACAGTGTACGTGGACCACAGGTATTAATGAGTAGATCTAGAAGATAGAGAATTAAATATATTTAAATATTTGTAGCATCATAAAAATTTCAGAGAATTTTGAAACTTAAGGTTGTTTTGTCTACAGAATATCCTGTAGGTGAGGGGTAGTAGTTACAGAAAACACACAAAGCATCTGTGTCTACTTTAAGTTTAAATTTTAACAGGGTACATTCTATAAACAAGTTTATAAGAAACGTCTTTAACCTTGTTTATATTAAAACATTTATTTGGTATAGTGGAGACTTCAGTGCATCTGCCCAAGTAGTCCTCCTAATTTAACTGAACTAACAAAGTTGGGAGTAAAAAGAGGCAGTTTCACTATAACCTCTTAGAAGCTGAATCATACCAAGAGGAATGGCATTAAATATGGTGCGTAATTCAAGCAATGTAATGGGCACACTGTATTTGGTCTTCATAACCAAATCAGGCACCTGTAGCTAGGGGAGGGCAATAAATGATAATTACGGCGATAAAATTTTACCTCAATAACAATATAAAAAATGTCCTATAAATGTTTGATTTTATTCTTTTGAATTACGAACAAATTAGCAGAAAAAAGATTTTACTTAATTTTACTCGTGCATATTTAAGATTTAATCATAACTGTTTTGAATGTTGTACCTCATGTTTGTTACGTGAACCACTGTCCAAATGTTTGTCATGTTGTGATCACAAAGAATAATTTAAAACCAAAATTAACCATCTGGTTTCTTCAACTTTTACCCAGGAACAAAAATCTGCCTTTAAACTTAAAAGAAATAATGATTTGACATTTTTCCTAATAATTATCAATATCAAATGATCAAACATTTTTGGCCATATAGCCAAGCCCTACCTGTAATATTCAGAAATTATTAAACATAAACAACTGTATCCTAGTTTAAAAAAGGATCTTTAGCATTATGAATTAAACATATATTGTAGTAGTATTGATTGTTGACAAAATAAAAAGCAAAAAAAAGATTATTTTGTACAATGCCCCTGCACAATGACTCTTAGCTGATTTTCTTCTTGTAATTTTATTTATTAATGTTTTTGTTTTGTCTGTTTTTGTTGTGTATGTTTAAATAAAATATAAAAAGGGTAGATATAGTGACTTCAGAGGAACAATTAACAAGAAGAAGAGTTTGTTTAGTTTAAATAAAAAAAATATTTAATTGTATGTGGTTTAACACAATTGAATGCATATTTTCTGCATTAGAATCACTTTTAAGGCAAAGTACTTAAATCTGTCCTCTCCTGCGCAGTATTTCCCTTGCTCAGATGCAGCTTCCTATACGAGAGGACTCCTCTCATATGGGGATATAATACAGCCGGTTCCTGTTACTTGATTTGTACGAGATTCAGAGAGTACAAAATGTGTGCAGAAGGTTAACTTAACTTTACATCTGCTGTAACAGAGGAACTTAGTGTGAATGGTAGCAGTGAGGCTAACGTTAGCTACACCTTGCTAACCTGGTTAACTCGATTAAAAACACACAAACTGGATTATTGGCCCATGTGTGAAGTATAAATATAAATCTATAAAATGATAGACTGTACACAACATAGCTCAAATTCAGAAGAAAAATATATAAACATAGTATTACCTTTCGTTTTAGCAAAGCTGCTTTCTTCAGTTTTACATCCGGGGCAACTGAGTTTAACAACAAGTCACGTAACCTATCATCGCAGTCGCTGCGAGCCTCCGCCAATCACACACCTCAAAGCCAGAGCGGAAGTACTCCTTCTCTGTTCTTCGTTGGTGCTGCGTCGCTCGACGTCCCTCCACCAAAGACGTCCATTCATTTCGTAAATTATAGCATTATAATTCAATACTTTGCTGTTTCTCGTTGACTAACTCGGGATGATTGAACCCAAGAAGAGAGCGGCGGACATGGCGGTGGTTCCTACGGCCGTGAAGCGGCCCAGGACGGATCTGGTGGCAGCGGCTCAGTCTCAGCAACTCGTGGCCATGGTACGGAGAGTACTAACGTTATATACTAAGGACTGGAAAAGTACTCATAGCAACTTGTTAAAGGCGACCAAAATATATACACCACCATTAACAGCTGCACATTAACACATTATGTTCTTAAGTGGACTAACTGGACTAGAAAATGTTTTTAGGTTCACAGACGGTGCTTTGTTGCCAGCAAAACAAATACGCAGGAAAAGTAAATAGCAATGCATTACCTCAAAAGCAGAAAATACTGCGATGTGTTTAAGTTCAGAATCAAATTGCTGCAATTCTTAAAAATATGCCACCTTAAAATGATCAGCCCTGTTTGACTTCCTGTTATCATGCAGTCCACTGTGATAAACATAGGTAAACTAATATTGGGCTGGTTGGCTCTAATACTGAAAGAATATCTTGTTGTTATTCTGTGATAATATATCTATTTAACAGTTCACCCAGCCATAGCCTCAGAGTCAGACAGCCACTATATTTGACATTTGATGTGTATCCCATAGGGTCCCCCACGGAGCTCCAGCCTGCAGGCTCCCATTATGCTGCTGTCTGGCCACGAGGGTGAGGTGTACTGCTGCAAGTTTCACCCCAATGGAGCTACGCTGGCCTCCTCAGGATTTGACAGGCTCATATGTAAGATATTAATTGAACTAGTTCAAATCCCGCAGTTCACACATCCTTGTTAAAACGTATTCATACTCCCAGTTACTGTGAATCACTCTCTGTACACTGTGTTCCTTTGCTGCAGTGATGTGGAACGTGTATGGAGATTGTGATAATTATGCCACTCTGAAGGGCCACAGTGGAGCAGTGATGGAGCTGCACTACAACACAGATGGCAGGTAAAAACGGTCATTGATAAGTGAAATGTTGAAGCTATACTGTGATGGACAAACATTCAAAATAAGCTATATTAACAAAACGAATAGCATAAACTTGAAGTTGTGAGTCAGCAACTTGTAATCGTTTATATGCATGCAACAGTTACATTATAGTTACTTATAGCAACACACAACCCCTGGAACTTTTTGAATGACAGTTGTCAAAATAAAACATACTTACATTAGCTGTAAACATTATCAGCTTTAGTTTAATAAAGGTTTGTACCGTTATCAGCTTTCCATGACTTATATTGGTCCAAAACAAGGGAGTATGGGATGAATTATTTGACAACCATCAGCTAATTTACTTAGTTCTAGGCCTTGCATTTGTACCCTCCTATAGTCTTTTATCTTAGAGAAAACAAGTAGTGAGTAGACATGGGCACATATTGAATAGTGACTCTCAAATTGCAAGATCATGTCACTATAGCCTAGATATTTTTTACAAGAGGTCTTCCAGATTAGCCAAATGGTAAATGGTCTGTGGTTGTATAGCACCTGTCTAGTGTTTCTGACCACACAAAGTGTTTTTAGACTACATTATATTCATCCCATTCATACGCAAATTAATACACCGAGTCAGAGGCTAAGGTGCCTCAGCTGTCAGAAACAGAAATGCACATTCATACACATACACTGTGATTCTTTGATTAAGGCTAATGAATTCACCCATACGAAGTCTGGTGTTGTCACCGAGCTTAGGGACAGAATCACATGTAACACTCAATATGCTCTTTACATGTTAAAATGCCCATGTAATTTGTATTATGTTGGAAACCAAAATGAAGGGTTCTATTCATAATCATGATGATAAATCATTGGAGGATAGGCATTTTAATAGTAACACAGTTTGAGAGAACTACATTAAATGGGCATTGAGACAGTGAATATGCCACAGAGAGGTTGTAATAGGGACAGACTCCTTCTCCAAAGGGAGGCGTGTTGGATACACTTCCTTGATACCCTTATTCCCAATGGGATGAATGAGGAGATTTTTTTTGCTTGTTTCTCATGAAGTATAATTTGTGTTGTGTTTCTGTGTTTTTTTTCATGTTGTTGTATCCTTCATCATGCGTTCTGTGCCTGTAACTCCCCCCATTGGGATGTACTTGTTGTTCTGGTTATAGTCACCTATAATAAACCCCACCTGTGTATATTGACTGAAATTGCCAGAATACACACAAAAGGAGGGCATCCCGCCCAAAACATCTGTGTGGAAATATGAATATAATAGAATAATAACTCAAAGTAGATTGTGGTCCTAGTCTCTCTCCTTTTTTATTCTAACCCAACTACTAAGCAAACACGAATGGTAATTTGAGTTTCTGTAATTGAAGGAGAGCAACACAGGTTTCCTTTTTGTTGAAAGCTGAGATAATGTGCAAGAGACATGTGAAACTCATGCTTCTTAATTCACAGGTTAATAAATGTATCTAGCAATGGTTTCAGCAACTGTGTTTTCTTGCTGTGTATTCCAGCATGCTGTTTTCGGCGAGCACCGACAAGACTGTAGGTGTGTGGGACAGTGAAACAGGTGAGAGGATCAAGCGTCTGAAGGGCCACACCTCCTTCGTTAACACCTGCTACCCAGCCCGCCGAGGGCCCCAGCTCGTCTGCACCGGTAGCGATGATGGGACAGTCAAGGTGAGATTTCCTACTGCCGATTAGTTTCATTAAATTCTTTGACCTGTGTAGATATTGGATAATATTTAATTAGAGTTTTTAACTGAGATCATAAGGTTCAGTTGGAGATTTACCACACTCACTTGTCTCAGTGATAGACTATGTTATGGAAAGTGATTGTTACTAATGCATCTCAAAGTTCAATGATTGGTCTGATGATCAGGCTTTTGTTTATTTTTTTATTTATACTTTCTCTTTGTGTGGTAGCTGTGGGACATTCGTAAGAAAGGTGCGATCCACACTTTCCAGAACACCTACCAGGTGCTGGCTGCAACATTTAATGACACCAGTGATCAGATCCTGTCAGGAGGCATCGACAATGATATCAAGGTACCGAGCTCCAGCATACACAGTAAACCTTGAAATAACACTGTCATAATAATATGAAAATGCATGTAAAGCCCCTTTGCCACTGCATGGTACCAGCTCGACTCACCTTGACTCTACTCGCCTTTTTCTGGGTTTCCATTGTGGAAATGTTGTACCTGTTACTTTTTTTCGTACCACCTCCGTCGAGGTTCCAAGCGAGCTGAGGCTATACTAAAATGTAACGTGAAAACACAGCAGACTACTGATTGGTCAGAGAGAATTGTCACTATTCACTGCATCATCATTGCGCGCGCCAGCCGCCCGCTTACAGAGCCCTCTGCTCCCGCCGTCACACAGACCGCTGCAGCAACAACGGGAGAGCAAAACACAGCTGGAAGGTTTTCATACCGCTTATCTGTCTTTACAGTCTGAGTAATGTTGAAACGTTTTAACTTAAATAAAAAGAAAGCTGTATGTGGGTCACTGGTGTGAGTGTTGCATTGAACATTACGTCGCAGCAGTTGTGTGTGGCGGCGCTATGACGACCAGCTACATTGAGGGGTACTATCTACAAAGGAAAACGTAGGACGGTTGAGGTGAGTTGAGCTGGTACTGGTAATGGAAAAATGGTATAAAAGATATCATGATCAGATCTGAGTTAATACAAACACCTATCGTTGTTGGCAAAATTGGGATGGGGACCAAAAAATCCATATCATAATAATTTTGTAAGGTTATCTCTATCTATAAATTGACAATCGTAATTTCTTTGCAGCATTTTTTTGAAAACACTTGGGGGGCGTTCAATAACTGCTATTGCTAGTACCTCAAAATATTGAGTTTATTGTCCAGCTCTACTGGCAAATATTGATCATGGCCAGGGCTTGACATTAACTTTTTTGCTTGCTAGCCAATGTGGCTAGTGTTTTTCCAAAGTTACTAGCCACACATCATTTTCACTAGCCACATTTTTGTTGTTGGAAAATTACGTTTTATTATCAAAGCTGACTGTGGTGTGCTAAAATGTACTAATATTATCATTAGCTCTGATAAGGTTGTGTGTAAAGCACCTTTTTTTGAAAACATGTAGTCTATTACGAGAAACACAAAAGAATAGCTTCTTATTTTATATAATGAAAGTTCATGGGTGTAAAAGATAAGGACTAAACTGATTTATTTATTTATTTTCAGAAACACTGTTTATTTATAACGGCTGTAAATACTGTAATACAGAGTAGAAAATTATCTGCATTAGAAACAAGCAAAGAATAACAAATTCTTTTTAAGAAAAAAATCCACAATTAAGGCAACAGGATTAAAACCTTATGTAGGCCTATATCATTTTTGTGCACTTTTGGATTGTTTGTTTTGCATTTGCATTTCCTCAGAGCTCTGACTGGATTTATGTTTATTATCATGAAGCTCTGGTAGCTCTGAGTAACTGGAGATACTTCCACCTGAAATGAGTACATGGGTCTTTATTTTCCAGATTATTCCCATACAAATGCATCTTCTGCTTTCCTATGGTATGAGTACTTGAGGCTATAATAAAACATAGAATCAACTCTGGAAAGGTAGCCTAGTTGTGATATGACGATATGATGTGATATAAGGGCAGCCCTGCTAGTAGTTTATTTTCTTTTTAAACACCACCATTTCCCTAATCATGAAGATATCTGTAATTTTACAGCATTTAATGGCTCTTCTGGATTTTCTCTGCCTCAGCTCTGCTTTTTCTCTTTCTCTCGATCTCCTGTGCATTTTTTCGACGCACACTCACGCACTGATTGAACGCTGTGTTGATGTGTGTGTGCGCATGCAACCAGTCGTGTGTGAAGACAGACATCATACCATCAGGTTAAAACAAGAAGGGAGGCTGGGTCTACAGGTCTGAGGGACTGTGGCTGCCCTGTGACAGATTCAACTTCTCTAGGTCTATTGTTGTTTGACAAAAGTCTGGATGTCATATTTGGCACACCTCGAGCGGCGGCACTGCAGGAGAGAGTGAGACGCGCCTGTTGTGTGGTTTCTCCTGCTATTAAAAAAAGCTTGCTGCCGCTGGTCAAGTTGATAATTAACAGCAGACTAACAGCCCTGAGTCCGGCAGCCAGTTCGCTAGTTAAGCTCCACAGCTCCAACTTGTTTACAGTGTTGTCGGTCATGATAGGCTTCACGAATGGACCAACCAAACCCTATGTGCAGGTAGTACTCATTGGAGTTGTAGTGTCAAATTGCAATTTGTTTATTTCAGTTGCATTATGACTACAATTTTTCAACACGCCAAAGTGGCTAGTGGCAGTGACCGCATCCACCCGCATTTGGGAGGTTGGCTGGTGTTAATGTCAAGCCCTGATCATGGAAAACCTTCTCATCTTCTTTTTATTCATTCATTCGGCAGTAGAGACACACACAGATGTGCGAGATGGCATGGCCTGCGTGGTGCAAGAAATTACAAAGCTTTTACATTTCATCCACGTGCAGTCTAAAATACCCCTGGTTTAGATGGGAATATATCGGGACTAGTGTGCCTGGCTGAGCTACAAAGTCAGAAAAGTACCAAGTACAGCTTACAGTATTGTGTGGACACAACAATCAAATCAAATTTAACTTGATTGTCAAAAGGAGGACATTTATTTTGGTCAAAGCTGTAAATTGTAATCTCACGGTGCTGTGTTTGCTTTTCTATGTTCTCCCTCCCTAACTGATAGTTTTTCCCCTAATTACCCGCCCTCACTGAATAAATAATATACCCTCCTCTAATCCACTGACACACCCACACAAACAAAGTACCACAGTTATGGCCGTAGAAGTAATTATGTTTTTGAAGTATCACAGTAAGATTAAAGACCGATTAGATCATTAAGAACACCATATTAGTGCTGGCAGCTTTTGTTACAGATTACATGGATTGCTGCAGATATTAAACAGTGATGAGTTCAGTCATTTAAGGATGCTGTGTATCGCATTCAAAATTAGGTCGTCCTAAACCCACAGACCCATTTTTCATTTGAGTGTGAGTAAAGTAAGGTGGTGAAACATTTTCTGTGTGCTGTGGAACTGCTTCCCTCAGGTGATGCTAAGCGGTTAATTCGCTGCTACATCCTCCTCACTCTTCACTCATCTTTTATAATGATGTTCAAGAATTACACAGGTTTTTTGTGCCTCATTCTGTAACCTTCTTATCCTGCAGACCCTGTTGCAGGTTCCAATGGCTATCATGAAATCTGGCTTTCGGCCTGTGGCTATTGCTAATATCTGTCAATGACCTATGAGCTCAAGCTTATTCTTTACATATAGGCCTATATACTGTATGCATTTTGCATAAACCGTGTCATAGCTGTTTCTTTGTGTCGAGCAGGTGTGGGACCTGAGGCAGAACAAGCTAATCTACAATATGCACGGCCATGGTGACTCTGTAACTGGACTCAGCCTGAGCTCTGAGGGATCCTACCTTCTCTCAAACTCCATGGACAACACAGGTAGGGTGTTTGTGTGTGTATTTATTACAGTATTATAAAGTTTCTCAGGTCATAACATTGAATTTTCTATGGCTGAATCCTTTATTTAGCTTTCGTCTGTGTCTCTGTGTAGTGCGTATTTGGGATGTTCGGCCGTTTGCACCCAAGGAGAGATGTGTGAAGATTTTCCAGGGCAATGTTCACAACTTTGAAAAGGTAACAAATAATAATATTTCTGTGGTTGATGACGGATTATGTGGTCTGCTTGAACATACAGCACTCTTACTACGCAATAAATGGCAGTGACACGGTCCATGTGAACTGACATTGTCTGTAACTTTGTCCCTAAGTGACTAACAGCTGCAGTCCTGCTAGTGGTGTTTACGCCTGTTGTCGACCAAGGGTTGCATGACCTTGCCTTTCATCCTGTCCTGCGTATCCCATCACTCTCTGCTGTCATTTCTAATAAAGAAAAGTTCATCTTATTACTGTAACAGTAGCTCACACGAAAAGCGGTTGTGTCAGTTTCTAAACATCTGTTCCTGTCTGTCAGAATTTGCTGCGGTGCTCCTGGTCTACTGACGGCAGTAAGATAGCTGCAGGTTCAGCTGACAGGTGAGAGGCAACGAAACACACACACACACACACTTACATGCTAATGTACACATATAAGCTAAAGATTTATGTAGTTTTGGGAAAATTCATTTTGTTGCTGTGATTGAAGATCAAACATTAAAAAATGTTATTTAAAGAAGGGATCCAGTCGTAGACTTTGGCATATTGGCACTTAATAATAAAAAATGATTTAGAAAAACAAGTTCTACAAAAGTGAAAAAGTGTAAATACAAAATAGAAATGTGTATGTCCAGATAACACAATTGTGTCCTGACTTACAAACAGCACATTATTACATAGGTCCATCTTTGAGTAATATCCATCCGAAAATTTAGGGCTGCAACGATAAATCATATAATCAATTAGTTGTCAGTTATTACATTAATTACATTTTTTTTAAGAAATATTATTTGATTCCAGCTTCTTAAAGGAGAATTTCATTACTCCTCTATGATAGTAACGTGAAGATGTTTGGGTTGTTTGAGGAAGTCATCTTGGGCTTTGGGAAACACTGATTGACAGTTTTCTGACATTTTTTAGACCAAACTGATCGATTAATCGACAAAGAAAATAACCATTAGTTTCAGCCATAGACTGTATAAGCCCTACTTTAAACATAAAAAAAAAACATATTTTCTATCTCAATCCACAGACAACAGCATAACCTGAAATAAATACCCTGTACAAAATGTATCGTCACAAAAATTCTGTAATCCTTCAGTCTTCTACTTTGCATTGTCCCACGCCACGGCTATTTACTCCTCTGTGTTTTTTTAGATTTGTGTATATCTGGGACACCACATCACGCAGAATCCTGTACAAGCTGCCGGGCCACGCTGGCTCTGTCAACGAAGTGGCCTTTCACCCAGAGGAGCCTATAGGTGAGTTAAACAACTGAGTCAGACTCCAGAGCTGTAATACATATTAGAAGATTATTATAGAGATATTTAAAGACTTGAGGACCGTTCGAGCAGAGAGCCGTGGGGATCTGGAGGGAAGATCGTTTTCAGATGTGGTTTTGCCAGAAATAAGCGCAATAAGAGTCGTCACCCAACACTCTTATTTTCTGTCTGTCAGATTTCATTTGACATTACTGGTTATTTCACCTGAGGCTTCTGACTAACCGTAAGAGTTTAATCATCTTTTTCTGTTTGTCCCTCTTCACAGTGCTGTCTGGCGCCAGTGATAAACGGCTCTACATGGGAGAAATTCAGTAGGGAAGGGTGTGTGTTTGTGTGTGGAAACTTGATGAGTGTGAGTGTGTGTGCGTGCCCTGCAAGCGAGGGTCCTGCTCTAGAAGTGGTATGGGTGGTGTTCGATGGTGGGCTAGGAGTCTCTGTAATTTCATGTGCTTTAGCTTGTCACAGAACAACCTCAGGACGTATGTTTGAAGTTTATTATGCTCAGTCACCACAACCTCCACGATTGTTTTTTTATCCTGATTTGTTTCTTTTTAATAAACTTCAGTATTCTATAAAAAAAGAGTTGGTTAGATTCCTTTTGTCATTGTGTGTTTATAATAGTGTTACATGCTGCTGGTTTTATCCACACAAGTCACACAAGTTATTTTATATCATTCATCCACATTCAAAGAAAACATTGTCCCTCTGACTCCACTATATTTATTTCACAGTGGTCTTAACTAGTTACTTTGAGTTTAAATTAAGCAGCAGTATATGGAGTATTTCTTACACGTTAACACATTAATATTGACAAGAAGTTGAGCTTTTATCGAACACCGAGGCATTATGTAAGATAGGACGACAGGCTGTATTTTCTATGGGAGTTTCATATTTTTAAATGTGGACAGGATGTTTATGGTGTATACAACTTATATACACTTCTAATATCCTATAGTCTTTTTGTTTAATTATATAATTATTGTTTTCTATCTTTCTGCAAAAAGACTGTCCTCTTGTGCGATAGTAAATACACAAACTGAACTGATAATTTATCACTGAAAGAAAGGACCATGTTAAGAATGAGTACTTTTCAAACGCTCTAGTGCTTTTAACTTATAGTACTACTTTTAAAAAATGCTAGACATTTTATTATTGGTGTGTTGTGTTTCTCTATTTTGGGTATGAGTTGAGGGTTTATGGAGGTTAGTCTGTGGCCATAAATGAATCAGGTCAGTTAATTAGCACTATAGAATCACTGGCCTGTGACCGCAGATGGTTGATAATGGGTCACTTCATCTATAATAATTAAATATTTTTTTAGTGTTGCTCTAGGGAGGCGAGGCATATTTAGCACCTTTTAGACACAGACAATTCAAGTGCTTTTCATAAGGTGTAGAAATACGTTTACAAACACGAGGAAAGGGACCAACAAGTTAAAATAGAATACAATAGGAGAAATAGAAAATGCATAATAGACTAGAAACAATTATAGTCCAATGTGAATAATATTATACAAAACACTGACTGATAGTGTACATGCTTTAACTGTTTGGTCACTATATTTATTGTGTGTAACTATGTAAGATTGATTGTTGTAAACCAGATATTACGCTTAATGGTTTTACTATTGATTGTCTTCCGGCCTCGCGATAACCGCCACAGCGGTCATTATCTGCCTCTGCATCAGCGATAGCAGACTCAACTTGTGTGAAGCTCACTTTGTTGCTCCGTCACACTGCTCTTGGTGAGTAGCTGTGATTAAATAAGGCTCTTAACTGTGTTTTTGTCCGCTCCGAATGACTGCAGGCTGAGGAGCCGAGCGGCAGGGTCGCGTGTCGCGTGTCGGTGCTCCCTCCCCGGTTCTTGTCCATACTCGGGAGGAAGTGGGAGGCGATCACAGACCTGATTATTTTCGGCTGTCTGAACCTCCTCCTCCTCCTCCACCGCCACCGCGAGCCCCCGTTTCTTTTGTGCTCCTTTCGAACGCCTCGCGGGGCTGCTGCTCGGCCGCGCGCACGCACGCGGGTCTGCAGAATCCATGCAGCTCCTCCTCGAGGGGGTCGCGGTGACTGAGAGCCCCCACCCCCCTCGGCTCCTCCTGCGCCCGCCCCGGCACCGATTGTTGACAAAAGACGCTGCAAGACGGAGCCCGGACCCCGGTACTGGTGAGCAGATGTGCCCGTTAATTCGACTTATTCCCCTGAACAGTTACAGGAGAAGAGTACCGGGGATTGGAGGAGGGGGGCGAGGACTCTACAGTTCCTAGAAAACCGCGAGTCACAACGGGCTGCTTTGTGTCCGTAGCGGATTGCTTGTATCGTTAGCCAAACGTTAGCCGTAGTAACACTGCGGGGTCGGTCCCCTCCTCCCCGCCTCCCCGTGTGATTCGGTATCATATGATGCTCATTTCTGTCTGCAGCCCGGGGCAGATTATGACAGCTTTCTGTCTCTCTTTGTGCCTTTGTGTGTCCCCTCTCCGGAAGGTGTGGCCGAGGTGATACGGTTGTCGGTGGTAGTCGGCGGGCCGGCGTGAAGTGGTCGCCCCCCCCCTCTCCTGCCTCTTCCTCCTTCTCTCCTTGCTGAAAACCACCCGTGATTGGTATTTACGGACAAAACCAGCAGCCAAGATGGATCACTCGGTGTGAGTGGAAGCGCCAGACCAGCGTTAAGGGAGGAGGCGGCGGCGGCGGCGGCGGCCTTGGGCAGGTCTATTCACCCAGGAATGGTGTGAGCTGAGACGGCCAGGCAGTCTGGATCTGACCGGGGACCCGTCATTCCCCCGGAGCCTCCGCGGCTCCAAGCCGCGTCCTGAGCCCTCCAAGATGGGGAAGTGCGACGGAAGATGCACGCTGCTGGTGATATGTTCACTGCAGTTGGTGAGTGTGTGTGCGCATGTATGTATGTATGTGTTTGTGTGTGCGCACTCATCATAAAGGCAGCGTGCTGCTGACACGCAAATTGTAACAGGGCATATTTGTCTAGCCTCTCCACACAGTCACACTAAGACAGCTGCTGGGGTGCCATGCCACATTACAGGCAAGGGAGTGTGTGTCTTTGAAGGAGCTATGGGGGGGAGGGTTGGGGTGAGAGAGAGAGAGAGAGAGAGGGGTGATAGCCCCATTCTGGCAAAACCATGTGAATTTTAATCACAAGAGGGACAAGGAGGCCCTGTTCACCATCTGGTCTCCATTCTGGAGTTAAAGTTAGCTGTTCCTTGTGCCTACAAATAGCTTGGGACTATCCCACTAAAATGTAATAAGTGTGTAATGTGAGACAGTTTGAGCTCCTCCTGTAGTGAGCATGATGCAGACACGGGCAGTGTGAGGGCCGGCTACCCAGGCTATTGTGTGCAGGGGCCGATGAGTTGTTTTGTGGAAGGGGAATTCAGCCCATAGATTCTCATTAGTTTGGGGGAGCTTTTGGGGGGTGCTCCTCTTTTACAGTCACTGGACTAGGCTGGTGCTCCAGGCAGTTACCATGGAAACAACTGCGGCAGACCTGTGTATGTGTGTCCCTGTCACTGTCTGTGTGTGCATATATTGGGTCTGTGAAACCTTGATTGCTTGCATGTGTTTATATGTGTGTTGTATTTGCACATGTCTACAATTGTCTGTGTTTGTATGTATGTGTCTAATATTGTGTGTATCACCCCCTCACCCTCCCCCGTCCCCCAAGGTGGCAGCCCTGCAGAGGCAGGTGTTTGATTTTCTGGGCTACCAATGGGCTCCCATCCTGGCCAATTTCCTGCACATTATGGCCGTCATCCTGGGCATGTTCGGCACCGTGCAGTTCCGATTCAGATACCTCATCTTTGTGAGTATATCCCACAACAGCTCCTGTTTAAGTGATAATGCATGAGCCTGCGTGTACTTCAATACAGAAACTGATCTCTAATCTGTTTGGCAGTATGCAGTATGGCTGGTCCTTTGGGTGGGCTGGAACTCGTTCATCATCTGTTTCTACCTGGAGGTTGGGAACCTGTCTCAGGTAATTTCTGTGTCTCTATACTTGTGGTTGTGTGTGATGCCACTAACAACCTGGATATTTGCTCTCATTAGAAACACTCTCTTATTCTATCTTTAGTTAGATTAATTTACTTATTTGCGTTACAGTTTGATGATCAATTAACTGTTTAACTCTCCGGTTCCCAAACTTTTTTCTGTTTGCAAGCAGAGGTTCCATAACTTTTTTGGCAACGCACCCCCTTCTACATCTTGATACATATATTACACACACACTTATATATGTGTGTGTGTGTGTGTGTGTGTGTGTGTGTGTGTATGTGTATGTATGTATATATGTATATGTATATATATTCTAACTTATTTATTTATTTACTTATTAATTGCTCAGTGTCCTGCCCACAGCACTGATTGGTTACAAGTCGCGAATAATAGCCTATCAACACTGCTCCGGTGAGCAGCGGAGCTGTGAAGGGAGGCAGCCAATATTACTGAAGGTGCAATAAAAATCTAAATATGGTGATCTGTTTCTATGATGACAAGCAGGCCAGTGACCAGTGTGGACATGCCCGAAGTCACAGCTACGGGGTTTCACTCAGTGACACTCTTGAAAGTGATGGCTTTTAAATCAGTCGTTCTCCCCTTAACCACTCACTGCGCTTAAATACAGCATGCATCTGTCTTCTTTTCGCTGCAACTCTGCATCGCAATGTACCGTTATAGCCTATTTATTATTTTAAAAAGTAACAGTGGCAGTGAAACTTTATCTCATACTGTGACGGTTAAACTTTGCAATCAATCCATAGTTTACCTGCGTGCTGAACCGTGCGTAAGGAGGTGTGGGGTATTTCCATGACAAAAAAAAAAGTTTCCAAACATAGCCTCATTAACAGATTTCATGGACAAAAAGAGGATCCATATGAGGATTTGTAAGTACAGTGTGGGTGGCTCAGCCTGAGAGAGCGGGAGGGAGAGGTAAAGAGGTGAGTGAGTAGCCATTTCATGTGAGCTAACTATTAATAATAACATTTTTAATTTTAAATTTACAAAGGAAAGTTTTCAATTCAGGTTTTTATTTCATAAAAAAATCCACAAAAAGTATTATTGTAGTTATAGTTAATACCCACCATTACATTTTTCCTGTCGGGCACCCCCTAGAGGCAGCTCACGCACCCCCAGGGGTGCGCGCACTACACTTTGGGAATCGCTGCTTTAGTGGCCTAAGATGTAAAATTATTCAGTAATTCACAAGAAAAAAGCAAAGATTTGAAAGAATGAGCCTTAATCTATAATATAAATAATACATCATATCATAAAAATATAATTGGATTGTGACCCCTGAGATTCAGCTAGTGACACCTTGGTGGGGTCCTGACCCCCAGATTGGGAGCCCCTGGTTTAAATCATGTATCATGCAAAAATGGCAAATATTCTCTGGTTCCACATTCTCAAATCTGTGGATTTACTGCTTTTTTGAGTTTTATATCATTGTTTCTGTGTTGTATATCATTGTCTTTCTGTTGTATATCAATGTTTATCTATTTTATATCATTCTTTCTGTGTTTTATATCATTCTTTCTTTGTTTTATACCATTGTTTCTATGTTGTTTATCGTTGTTTCTGTGTTTTATGTCTTTGTAAATTTTCACCTTTTGGACTGTGGGAAATTGTGATGGATTATTTTCACCATTTTATGACTTTTTGTGGACTAATCGGTTTATTAAACACTTAATCATCTGAGCAGTTAGTTGTAGCCCCACTTTTATGCATGTATGCGTGTGTTCAGGACAGGGACTTTCTCATGACGTTCAACACCTCCCTTCATCGTTCGTGGTGGATGGAGCATGGTCCTGGTTGCCTGGTCACACCAGTGCTAGACTCACGCATGGCCCCCGATGACCACCATGTCATCACTGTCTCCGGGTGTCTCCTTGACTACCAGTACATAGAGGTGTTGAGTTCAGCCATTCAGATACTGTTGGCAGTACGTATCTCAACACACACTCAAGCAAATAATCATACAGTGTTTCTTTTACATCCATGTGGCTTTTAACCTTGTGCTGAAACAGTTTCTGTGACATGCAGGACAGACAGCCTACACAACAACAGTCACCTAATTTCTGATATCTCTTCTCTAACAGCTCTTTGGCTTTGTGTACGCCTGCTACGTGAGCAAAGTCTTCCAGGATGACGAGGACAGCTGTGAGTGCTTTTGTCTTCTCCTAAAAGCATGTACATTCTCTTTCAGCTGCTTGTTCAGCCGATTAGGTTTTGCTTGTGTCATACTGTCAAGGAGGCTTTTGTGTTAGCGATCCATTGCTTTGGATGTGGGTGCTGATAGCCCATTGTCTTCTCCTGCCTGAGTCATGCTGGGCAACATCACCACCGAGATTTCCCTCTGGGTGATCTGATCGCTCTATCTGTGGAGAGTATTAACAATGTCTGCCTGACTATTACCACTGTCGGAGTGTCTGTCTGCTGCCGAGTGCTTCTCTGTTAGCTTGGGTGTGCCACCTGTGTGTCTGAATGGTTCTCCTCATGTGCCTTTCGTGAGTGCTTCACTCTCACTTAGCAGAGGAAATGAAGTCCTGTAGTTGGGATATGATGTCATAAGCTTGATTTCCTGTAAAAGGAAGTGTCATGCTGCGTCTGTGGTGTCTTATCAGCATGCTATGTCATAATTACATACGTGTCATAACATAGTGGTGATGATACCATATCAATCACAGACAGTGTTTTTTGTGGTCAATACTGATATTATCTATTTACTACTGTTAAAAAAATCTAGTTATGATGTGTGGGTGGATTGTTTTTTATATGAATCAATAACAAAAAACTTAAATTTTGGACAAGCATCCCTTAAATTAGTTTTTATTATGAATTGTGACCAACATATGTTCTGAGCGGGACATTTAATGGTTGAAAAATAAACTTGTCAGTGCTCTCTGGTGGACAAACTACATACCGGAAACACTGTTACTAAATTAACTCAAACTTATCTTTAGCATTTATGTTCTGCAATGTCTTTCTAAATATTGGCAAATATATATATATGTGATACCAATACATCTGCAGTAAGCTAATAAAGGCCAATACTTTGGCCTGGTTGATTTATCTAACTAATTCATACTTGCACCAGTTTATTGCACTCCATGTGTAACGTGGTGTAAATTAAAGCAAATACAGGCGATGTTCTACCTTTTTTTTTTTACCTTTGGGCATTAAAAAAGGAAGAATTGCAACAATACAACATCACAGGAATGATTGCTGGATCTTGCTTTTGGAGAAAACAGATCCCTAACTTGTGGTCTGTATCTCCACTGATGTAGACAATCAGAGACTATTTTCATTTTTCAGCTGGCACAACATAAGTTTGTTCCTCTGAATCGGTTGAGAAAGATTAGAACGATGTATCAGTGACATGGAAGCCGTGAGAAAGATGATGTATCAATGCATCGCTGCAGATTCTGATGTCACAGTGGGTGCTTATAAAGGTATCCTGAAGGTATTATGATACCATCTGATGCCTTAATAGATTTTACATGTCAAAACAGAATGTGATCTTGAAATACAACACTTAAAGACAGATTTAAGGGAATGATGTCATCCCCTCTCTTTCTCTCTCCTGAAGTTGACTTCATTGGTGGCTTTGACTCGTATGGCTACCAGCCTCCTCAGAAGTCCTCTCATCTGCAACTCCAGCCTCTTTACACGTGAGTTACAAATATAACCTTCTCCAGTTTTCCTCTGCTTTGTTCTTCTTTTTGATCTTATCGTTGAACATTTGTCTTTCAAGGGGTACTCCAGAGATTTAGTATTGCACTTCGAAAAGGTTTGGGGCCCTCAGAGAATAAAATCAGCAGCAGAGTCTGAGCTATCCTGACTTTTAGTCCCCTAGTGCTGTGGTTCTTAAACTTCTTCACATTAAGGACCCCTAAACTGTCACAAATTAGACAAGGGACCTGCATTTGATAGGAAAGTTTTGTCCCAGTGTCGCCCATCTGATAGGAATTTGGCTTTTACATCTTTGTTACAGAAAGTGTATAAAAACGTGACTAATCTAGTCATACATTCTATCATTGTGTTACTTATGGATGGATCAGTGAAAATAAATGATCCCTCTTTTACATGGGACCCCCTGGACCCCACTTTGAGAACTGGGGCCTAGTGTGGGTCTAGAAAATCTGCATTCTACATTTCCACTATGCAACTCAACCCTTTCTGCCTCCTAAAGGCCCACTTTTTAAAACCCCACACCTCTGCTTTGTAATGCATGATTCTTGTTAAAGCTGAGATAACCCTAACGACATCATCAAGGTTATTATTTCAAACTTTGGAAAGCCCAGTCCAGAACCACAGAAGGCATTATTCAACTGTAACTATCATGACAATCGCATAGGAAGGTGTGGGGTATTTCCATGACAAAACTTGACAAAAAAAAAGTTAACAGATATTAACAGATATCATGGACAAAAAGAGGATCCATATGAGGATTTGTAAGTACAGTGTGGGTGGCTCAGCCTGAGAGAGAGAGGGAGGGAGAGGTAAAGAGGTGAGTGAGTAGCCATTTCATGTGAGCTAACTATTAATAATAATGTTTTTAATTTTAAATTTACAAAGGAAAGTTTTCAATTCAGGTTTTTATTTCATAAAAAAATCCACAAAAAGTATTATTGTAGTTATTGCACTAATACCCACCATTACATTTTTCCTGTCGGGCACCCCCTAGAGGCAGCTCACATCAAACTTGATGTGTAAAATCGGTGGAGTGCCCCTTTCATGCAGTTACATCAAAGTACAGTGTACTGTACCATTCCTGTCTGACAGTGTGAATTCCCCTGATCTGGTCCCCTCTGCATCCCAGGGCTGGTTAACGGTCGGTAGCGCCCCCTTCAGGCCAAACCCTGACGGTGTCACTGTGGATGGAAAGCGGCGGTTGCCTTGATTACACTCACTCTGTGTGTCACAGTTTACCTGTGGAATGGACTTACCCCACCCGGAGAGAGACGTCTGTGCGTGTGTGCATGTGTGCTTGTGTCTGAGAGAGAGAAATACAGCCCTGAATAGAGCTCAGGGAAGAACCAGCATGCCAGGTGGTGTGATAAGATGAAGGAGAAAAGGAGGAGGCCGGGGAGGGGAGATGCAAGAGAACAAGAGCTGGGGACACCTCCGTCAAATCACAGAAGACACACTTCACTAAACTGCCAGCTGTCAACACTCCCACAAGTGTGTGTGTGTGTGTGTGTGTGTGTATGTATGTGTGTATGTATGTGTGTGTGTGTGTGTGTGTAAAGTGTGATTGAGTAACTCCACAGGACTAGCTGGTGCTTTGTGGTTGCACCCTGGACTCTTACCACTCGTGTCCCTGTGAAGTTTTTTTTTTTTTTTTTTTGTGGGGTGCTCGTGTGTGGGGGTGGGGTCACATAAAAATAGGCACGGCTCGTACCTGTTGTCGTTTTAGAATGTGGTGATGTCAAACTAGAGCAGTCTTACGATTTCCATTCCCAAAGCCATCTTTCCTTCCTCCCGTGCGGTTAAAACCACTGTTGACATTCAAGCTTTTCACATTACAGGCCTGGCCTGCTATGGTAGTAAAATAGGTCCTGTGGAGCGGAAAGGATGAACCGCTGAAAGGATCAGGCTGACAATATTTTATACATTTTATTATTGACCAAAACCAACAATGTGTTCATCTAAATACTTTTGTTCCTTTTCGGAGAAGTAAATCTAAAAAAAGTCACAAAAATATGCTTTCATTTAAAAAAAAGGCTAAATAATTTCCTAAAACAGCTGGGCACTGTATATTTTAGCTAATGTCACTCAAACTGCAGTAAATGCTGCATTTGTTGGCCACTATATTCAGCTACACATTTGCTGTAGTATTTATGGTGTATGTTGGATAATCTCAAAATAAAATACAGTGCCTGTACATGGTTAATGGTCCGTACCTGTATAGCGCCTTTCTAATCTTCCGACCACTCAAAGCGCTTTTACACGTCACATTCACCCGCTGATGGCAGAGGCTATGAGCAACTGCTCATCAGAACAGAAATTCACATTAACACACCAGTGGAACAGCCATTGGGAACAATTTGGGTTTCAGTATCTTGCCTTCGACATGCACACTGGAGGAGCTGGGGGATCGAAGGTTTAGCAGGCTCTACCTCCTGAGACTCCTCATGTCGCCCAGTGCAACAATTTGGCTCATTGATGTGTTTTTACAGGATAAAAAGTGACAACAGGAGTATACTCTATCAGGCTTGTTGGTGGGCTTCAGTCATTGTTGGTTTTGGTCTTTTGACTTTTGATGCGATTTGTTGACGATGAGAAAAATATAGAATATCACCAGACTCATCCTTTAAAGTTCTGGGTTACTGCAAAAATCAAGTCAAATGTCCATTGCCAGGATATCTTGTTTTCAGGAAAATAAATTCAGCCTACTGTACATCTAATGCTGTTGATTAGGGATGCAGATGGCTTTGGGATCAGGCATTAGTGTGTCTATTTGGGGGGTGGGAGGGTGCATGTAAATAACCAGCCAATGATTGTTTTGTTGGTTCCATTTAGAAAAGAGGGGTTGCATTAGGGGGTGGGTTGGGCTGGGTGGAGAGGGGTACACACCAAAGCTTTTCTTCACACCTGTTTCTCTTCTTCTCTCTTATTTGGAAATCCTCATGCTGCCCTCTTCTAATCCATCTGCAGCTAATTCTCCCTATCGTTTTTTCTCACTAACTACATTCACAGAGATAAAGGAGACCTAAGAGGATAATATGTCATGAACATGCACGGTGACATGCTCTAAGTAGTTTTTGTAGATGTAACTGGAGACAGGAAGAGGGAAGGACGGAGACAGGTATGAGCTGAAGACCTTATTGGGTGTAAGGTGAAGTTTGAAATAATAAAAATACACTTTCTACATTAAACCTGACTTCTGTTGTCATATGTAGACACACATTTCTCTCACTGAGCTAAAAGTTTATTAAAATGAGTGCCTTCAATCCTTTGATTACATTATATTAATATCTGGATTATGGGGGACAGAACTACAGTTTTTGCCAGATTAAACAAATGATGCTAGTGTAATGCGTTTTATAGAAAGACCGCCCAACATTACAAAAACAGCTCTATGATATTCATAAAAGGACTTATTTTATGCCTGCAGTGCTAAAGAGTGAGTCCTCTGTGACCCTTTCATTTAAGTTCATAAGAATCAGAATTGGGATTATTGCCAGGTACATTTTCACACATGAGGAATTTGCCTGGGGCTTAACAGTACACATGAACATTAATATAAAAAAATTTAAAGATTAAATATGTACAAGTAGCCAATACTAATACAGAAAATGTAAATATACAGGAAAATGAAAGGAATGTACAAAAATTCACAATGTGAGGAATAAAGAATTCAAATTAGTGCAATTTAATGGCATTAAGTTGCTATCTTATAATAAAGATTTGATTGTCAAAATAATGTCAAGATAATTTCCACTATGATACAAGAAGCACTATGGCATTCATAAAGTGACTGAAAAAAATTTAAATAAGTAGCTATCATTAAAGTTTAATTAGTTATAATTTGTTTTTAGCAACTCTTTCCAACAGTAAAGAAAAATTAATCAGAAATGGACACAGCACATTGCAACAAATACAAATTAAAACTGACCAATACAGAAAAATACAACCTAAAAAAGACAAAATGGTACATGTGGAAGATGCAGAGTGCAGATTTGCCAGGTATTATTTTAAACATTGCCAAGTGTAAAAGAAAAGACTTGTAAAATTAATATCTTCAGGTATACACTTCAGATTATTTGATACAGTATGACTGGACCGCACAAGTAGCCTATGTTTAGCAGCCTATTCTAAAACATGTTCATATGATTATCAGATTTTAAAGGGCTTCCATAATCTAATCTAGCTGCATTACGTCATCCACACACCAGTTTGGGGCCGTCTTTTCTCCGGTCTGCAGCCTCGAGGTGATCACTGGCACATTTCCAAAAAAGCCAAAAGGGTATTTTTGTGATTTGCGCCACATGCTCCCCTCTTTCACACCGTCCATTTACTTACCGGAGGTGTAATGGAGCGTCTAGCAGCCACACACTCGCTGACCATGTGGCCCCGGTGCGTTGTGTACAGTCTACCCCCGACCAGAGCACGTCACATCCCCATATAATGTTAAATAATATAAAAAACAGTGTTTTCTACTGTAAGTACCACTGATGTCATACAGTAAAATATAAATGTGTTGGAAAATTTCCCCCTGTTCCAGAGTCTATTTTTTATTTTAAAAAAGCTGTTTTTTACACCATTAATAAATAATGTGAATAAAGTTACAACAAAATCCGTTATAAATACTCCCCACAATCCAAACAGATTACACAGATAACAAAGACACCGGTCCGGTATGGCCCTCCCTCCCCTCCCGGTTGGCGCAATGAACCGCACGCTCTCTCTCATCTCTTCCCGGCATGCAGCGCTCCTGCTTGCTCCTCCGTCGAGCCGCCATGTTGTCGGTGTGAAAGCCTGGGGTGTCAGAGAGAAACTGGGGCCGAAATCCGCAACCATCCACCCTCTCCGCCGGTAAGTATCACCTCCTACCCGGTCGCGGCAGCACGGGGCATTGCTTATTCACGCATCGGTGCCGGAATTGTTGTTATGGCGGCTCTGACCGGGGCTAAAGAGGAGTATTTCGTGAGGCTGAGGCGGCTGTCTCCCCTTTCTGCTGCTCGCCTTCCTCCCGTTGTGTCGGTCTTCCGCTCCAGACAGCTCTCGGGCCTTTGTTAGCATCCGCGTCACGGGGACCTGTGGGGCTGGGAGGTCGGCAGACAGGTAGAGACCCCCGGGTGTTTGTTAATAACAACACGGTGGAGTTAGGAAGCCGCTGCCGCTGTTTTAGACATTATGTTTGTCCACCGGTTCGCCCGGGCTGAGCTTGTGTTGGGAGGCCGTGTTATTGTGGGTAGACACGGCAAGTGGACCCTCCATAACAGATCCGACACTGGCGTGAGTGGACGCAGATCCATGAAAATGAACCCCCGGTAACGGTGTCCACCCCCCTTTCACGAAGCGTCTACATGTTCCCTTTCGTTTTGATGTGTCATGTCTGTTAGGAGGGAAATGTTTGGTGTGTGTTGAGACGCCTAACGTTGTCTCCTGCTAGCTGCAGGTTGCCTGCTCGCATTGTCACACCCCTGTCTGTGCCCGGTATGCGGTGGATTGATCCCCGGTTTTGAATAACGATTAACCCAGTTAGATTATGGAGCACAGTGCCTGTTTCCGTGTGCTAAATTAAACTTGTAACATAAAAAGCCGCGTGCGCCTCGCTTTGGGGAATGGCCTCAGTGTTGTGGATTTCCGGGTGTTTCTCTACCTGATTTCGAGCTGTAAGGAATAAAGAGCCAACGTTTCCCCGTCGCTCAATTAAGAGAGCAAGAAAACAAATCCACGAGAACATATGTGAATGATCACTTGGCATTCTGGTTTGTTTTTATCTTTTGGGACTGTTCAGCCTGTCAGCTTGTGTTTTTTTTTTTTTAAATTTTTTTGTCTTCATGGAGGTGGTGTGTTGGACAGTGGTTTTAACAGAGGTGCGAGAAGGCTGCATGCGTTTGAAGCTTCACATTGTCACACAGACTCTGGCAAAGTTAATTACTGTATATGGCTCTGTAAAAAATGGACTGCTTGTAATTTCCTCATGGCCTGTAGGGACACTTAATGTGAAACTGGTCATTTTTTTAACAGAGATTAAAGCTTGTTGGATAAGGAGAGGTTGTAAAATACAAATTACATCCCTCTGACTGCTGAAAACCACTTAGGTTGTTGTGCCCCATGTTGACCACGACCACCAAACGGATACTTCTTGGGTTTATCATCGCTCACATAATAACAATCTACCGACAACCCTTAAACCGGGGTTATATGACAGGGCCCCTCTGGCCTTTTCATATGGGTTTTTCTCCATTTCTTGACAAACAAAGTCAATAACCTCCCTTGGGCAAACTTACTAATATAATGGTTTCCATTTACGCAATACACTTAGTTGCCACTTTATTAGGTACACTTAGCTTAAACTAAGCTTATTACAGTTAATAACAGTTAATATTGGTTTATTCATCTTTATGTTCACTTTGGATGATGAAGTTTGTGGTGCTATTGAACTGTATTGTTGTTATTGGTGTTTCTAATTTATTATTGGTGTTTTTAATTAATTTAGTTCACCCTCACTGATATAAATGAATTTTGACAAAAAAATTAGGGAATCTGCATAATACAATTCAATGGCACACCACAAACTGCAGCCTCCAAAATAACCATAGAGTCCAATCAACATGTCTCTCAAAGAGTTTAAACAAAACCTGAACATTATAACCTTCATGAAGGCAGGATTTGTTACAGGACTGTTGTTTTAGCCGGGTGTACTTAATAAACTGGCAACTATACTCTACTGGTGGTGGTTTGACATAATCAGCTGTGTGAACTTCTATGACCGATAGCAGTGATCTGCAACCACGTCCCACCTAAAGCCACTTTTGTACAGATTTTCATAACAGCTAAATGTCTGTAGATAGAATACCTTAAACCAGAGAAGGGGAGCACTATTGTGACCGATATACGGACCACTAGGATAAGTGTCTCAATAATATTGCATTACCTAGAAACTTACTTTGCTCCAAAATGTTATGATTCACTGTGATTAATATTAGCGCTGTCACTTTATGTGGCTGCAACCTACAAACTTAATAATACACTTTGGGTTCATTAGAAGGGTTAAACTAATTGGGTTTAGTTAGGTATTTACATTCAGTTATATTTAATTATTGCTGTGCTGCAGAATGAAATGCAGTTCTACTTTCAAAATAGACATCACATCAGTTAATTTTATTAAGTGGACCATTTTCAGTCAAAGAGGGACTGTTAGTACAATGAACCACTGTTTTGCTGGTGTGAAAGTATCTGACAGTTTGGATACAACTGGGGCTTTTCATTAGGTACGCCCACCTAAAACTAATGCAACATCATCACTGCAACAAATCCTACCTTTATGAATGTTATAATGTTACCCTCACTGATAGAAATCAGATGAAACAAGTATTAGAAACTCATATTAACCTTCATAAAGGTAGTTTTATTGTAGTGGAGTTGTAACAGTCTGCGTTAATGTTAGCTAAGGGTACCAACCAAACTGTCAACTGGAGTGCAGTTTGACATTAAACCCAAATCAGGCTACAATATGTGCTGATATTATATATAATATTGCATATTTATTTGCAACGCTGATGTGGCCTGAAGTTGTCAAATGTGGGAGGTCCATTTCTTTTCTAAAATGACCAATATTGGCACTATTTATGTGGGATTATGTAGTACTTACTTTTCCATTTGTGCTTGAGTGATGTGTCGAGGGATTTATAGAACAGCAAAACTTACTCTTACTCTGAACTTTGATCTTAAATCTTTTGAATAGCACAACGATTAGACGACCCAGTTGTTTAACTGCATATTTTGTCTGCTGTCACCACAGTTTTTTATGCAGTAGGGTTAGAACATGGATCACAGTTTGTTTGTTGGGATTTAGTTGCTGTGAACATTAGCTAGTAGAGTATAAGCCACGCTGGCTTAAAAAAAGTTGTCAGTGCATGTGTTTTGGAATATAGTTACAAAGACTGTATTTGTCTGAATTTCTGCATCGTTCTGACTGGTTTAAACAGGTTTGCATGCTTATAACATACTTACCTGTCATACTTGCCAGTTTATTAGGTACACCTAGACGTCTGCAAAACTCATGCAGTCAGTATAACAGCCCTACAATAAATACTATAAAGGTTACAGTGTTCATTTCTAGTTGAAACTCTTATAGTGAGGTGTTGATTCAACTTTATGATTATTTTGTAGGCTGTACTTTATTGGAGGGATTTGGATCTTC